AAGCCAGCCACTTCATGCCTTTATCTCCCCCCATTTTAAATAGCCAATTTCTAATTTGCCCATCCCTATCAAACCAGTACTCTGAGGAGACAAGCATGGTCCTTTCTCTCTGGAGAATCTTCTGTTCTGCTTGGAAACTTCAGGCATGTGGATCCATAACCAAGCAAAGTCCAGCCCAGCACAAGCCATTAAATTGCAGCAACTTAACACCAGCTCAGTGTCAAACATCTTCCTCTTCATTTGGTCGGGTCCTGGTCAGCTCAGTCCTAGCCATCCCAGCTAGGTCATGGGTACCAGCTGCCAAGTTTGGGAGTCACACTCTTCCCTTCACTTCAGACCAGCCAGCACTTTCTCTCACATTTTCAGTCCTCAGGGACTATTTCAATGCCCGTAGGCTCACAATTCATTGCACTTCAGACCAGCCGCCCTTCCTCTCATCCCCAGCCTCTGGGCCTAGGTCAAAGAGTACCAAACTCAGCCTGTTTCTTCTTTGCTGCACTTCCCCCATTTCCAGTCAGGTGGATCCAGGTGGTCACAAGCAAGTAACATACCAGTCTACTACTCACTGGCTTCCTTTAACTTTCAGTCCTGGAAGGGGTTTCTCTCATAGACCATGACTTTCCTGCCTTGATGGACCCAAAGCCTATCTGCTTGCTTGAAATTCAAAAAGCCAAACAGTCATTTTTTTCTCTTCAGGTCCTCTCTTCAAATGCAAATCTTTCCTTCCCTCAGTAGTACTGGGTGGGGCTTTACACACAGGGCTTAAAACAAAAGCCTGTGTTTCTGCTGGGCAAATTCTATTTCCCCTTTTTAACATATCCAATCATGTATTGGCTGAAGGTGGATTTACATGGGTAGAAAAGCCACACAAAGTAATTTACTACACCGCAAGATGTGATGGCATTGGTAGGCATCCACCATTGTCATGTGCCAGAATGTGTGTTCCTTCAGCAATCTCTCAGACCTGGTCCACCCTATTACCACCTTCCCATTATTGTCCCAACATGGATACAGGACACCCTAGGCTTCCTACGGGAACTGGCCCTCCAACTCCCTGTAACTAGCCCATCGCGCACAGATGTTGCAGTTCTTCCTAACCTAGACAAGGGTCACTGAGGTGTCCTTACTGTCAGTGTGTCTGCAAATCTGCCCATGGCTATGACTCACCTATGCCCTAGAGGGTGCGCTTTGGTAATTCAAAGATATGAGGAAGGATTGGGAGCTCTGGTAGCATAGTGCCTAAGGCATTTGACTTCTAATCAGAAGGGTGGCAGTTTAAACCCACCAGCCACTCCTTGGAAAGAAGGTGGGCAATCTACTTCTGAAGTGACACTGCCTCAGAAGCCCAAGCAGGAGTTGCTATGAGTCAGATCCAACTCCACGGCAGCGAGTTTTTTTTCTTTTTTTCAGGTAGGATTACAGATCTTTGGAAGGTGGAACACAATGCAAAGACACTACGCTAGATGAAAGGCAAGCCTCATTATTTAGAGCTTCAAACAAGAAAAGGCTGTCATATAGGTCCACACTCAATGGGTCCGACTTGATGGCATATAACAACAACAACAACAATAGGGCCACACAGGAGTTTGCATCTGGGAGAGGGTAACACCAAGCTGGAATTGTAAAATGTGGTTTGTATATGGCAAGCAGAAGGGCTTAGGTAGATTTTTCAGGCTTCCTGGTGAATGCGTGTTTTGAATGATTCTACAGGCCCAAAGGAATCCCCTGGTTGCTAGGCATCTGGATTCATCTAACCCATGAATGTTAGAGCTGGGTAAAGGAAGTTGGAATGAGGGCTTAGCAAACTGCCTGTGATCAACAGTGAGAGTTTTGGGCCATGACCACAAAACTGGGTCCATACAGCACTTGGTGAAATATTATATTACAGTCGCTTCCTGCTTGCCTAGTGACAGTGGACCAGCTGTGGCCTGGGAAATCCGGAGAAGTTCTCCACCATTCATGTGTCTGGAATCATGCCTTCTCCAATGAGATCTACTTCTTTTAAGTTTGTCTTACATTGAATATGTTCTCTTACCATTAAGGTAGCCTGTTGTTGTTGTTGTTATTTGCCATCGCGTCAGCCCCGACTCCTAGTGATCCCTCCTTGGGTTTCCGAGGCAGTTATCACTACGGAAGTAGGGTTGCCCAACCTTCCTTCCTCCGAGTGGCCTACAGAGTTCTTTTTACATCTTACAGTCTATTATAACAATTCTTTATATTAAACATCTACTGTTTCAATCACTGTGTGGTTTCTATCTCCTGATTGGACTCAGATGGATAAAATCACAATGTGGTTATACTCATGACTGCACTCAGAAACAGTATTTGCTTATACAGCAGGCTATGTATTGAATTTTGTTCTCCCAAAATATGTGTTGAAACTCTGCCCCTTGAACCTGTGGATTTGATCCTGTTTGGACATAAGGATTTTCTTTTCCATAGTGATAACTGCCTTGGAAACCCAAGAAGGGGTCGCTATGCGTTGGGGCCGACTCGACGGCAAAACAACAACAACAACAACAACGTTAATGATGGATACCAGTGTGAGATGTATTGTAAACCTGATCATTTCTGACTCATAAAAAGAACAGGATAGACACAGAGATATAGAAGAGGAAGATAGACATCACATAAGGGTTGTCTATGACCCGAGAAACCAAAGAATACCTGGGGCTACCAATAAAAAAGTAATACACATGACTGAGACCCCAATTTGGACTTTTAGTCTCCAGAACCGTAAGAAAACAATCATATGTTCTATAAAGCCACACACTTGTGGTATTCATGTTACAGCAGCATTAAGTGACTAAGACAGTGCACTTATGATTGTTTTTAGTTTCCTTCTGGTTTCACCGTGTTGCGATACAAAAATGTGGCCTAGAAAATTCCTACTTATTAGAATTTATTGATGTTCTTTGTAACACAGTGGTCAATTTGTAAAATCTATTTCCTAGAGAACTATTTTCAGTCTCTATTTCTATGGTATAGAGACAGATATAAACTCAACATTATTAAATTATTTATATCCTCTATACTAGGGATCAAGATACTTTTTCTCTAAGGGTCAACAAAGGAAATATTTTAGGCTTTCAGACTATAAGGTTTCTGTTCCAACTACTCAATTCTGCCTTTGTGATGAGAAACCAGCCACGAAAAATATGTAAACATATTGCCTGTGTGTTCCAATGAAACTTCATTTACAAAAACAGGCGTGGACTAGGTTTAGTCCACAGGCCATAGTTTGCCAACCCCTGCTCTATATCATTATGTTTTCTATTTGATCTGACCAGTTGGTCTAAACTCCAACTTTCTGTTTGACTCTCTTCATATATCAGTGGTCTCAGATAGTCTTACCTGTTCTCATTTCATTTCTGTGGAGATTGGAGGGATACCTTTAAGTGTGCACCTGTGCTTCTGCATTTCTGGGGCGTCCTGCATGCCAAGTGTAACTCTACCACACCTTTTTGAAGAGAACTGATTCCCATAATGATTTTTTCCTTTCTTCCTGGAATTCATTTGTTGAATTTTTCACATCACATTCATTAAGAAGGTGATTGGATTTAAGATTTTGCTTTCCTTAAAGGTCTATTTATAGGAATAATAAGGCCCCTGGTTTTAAAAGAAAGTAAAAACTTAGTATTTCCAGGCCAAATCATCTTCTGAAATTCCCTTTGGTTCTAGTCATGAAAGGAAATGAAATCTATCACAAGAACTCAGGAGATCATGAAATTCAAATAAAATGACTTCAACTTCAGCCATGTTCAGAAAGATACACAAAGAGGTGAGTTCTTACCAGTGGAATGAGCAGGCTGATGAGGTCTGTCAGAGGTTTGCTGAGCAGCAGCAGGTCTTCTGCAGCCTGGGTGTCCCCTCCTGATCCAGACTTCTGTGCCTGAACAGGGAGAAGAGAAGGGGAAGGGACACTTGTTAATTAGTCAGCTTGACTCTGAGAGACCACTAGGTTATGAAAATGAAGGTAGCTGAGGAGACATTCTACCTCATTTCCCCTAAGTGCAGGGCATTTGGAAGCTCAAGAAGAGGTTATGTTTTAAGAGAGTATACACATTGCCACTGTCACTAGCTTCTACAGACAATGGGGGACAAAGCCAGGTGTTAAACCCAGGCTATCCAATTCCAAATCACACATGCTGATTTCCTGTGGGCGTTTTTATGCACAATTTATGATGCATGCCAAATGTTTTTTGCTATGCTTCTCTTCCCTGCTATACAGGCTGATGTCTACTGTCACTGAGCTGTCCCTCAACTCATGGCAACTCCATGCACAACAGAAAAGAATGCTGCCTGGGCCTGCGGTATCCCCATGATCAGTCGCAGATCAGACTGTAGTGATCCATAGTGTTTGCACTGGTTGATTTTCAGTAGACTGTCAGGCCTTTCTTCCTAGTCCACCTTAGTCTGGAAACACTGCTGAAACTGGTTCAGCATTATAGCAACACACGAACCTCCAATGACAGAGGGGTGATGGCTGTGTCTGAAGTGCAGTGGCCAGGAATCGAACCCGGATCTCCCACATGGAAGGCAAGAATTCTATTACTGAAACATCAATGCCCTTTCTATAGGCGTACCTGCACTCAAATAAAATCTATAACATTTGTCCAATGTATCACTGCATGGACAGACTTCAGGTCTACATCCCTTAGGAAATGTGTGCCCATATTGCAATGGAAATAAGAAATGAGTGGGTGACTTTTATCTTAAGTGTATCTCCTCCCAGGAGTTTAACAGAACTGTTTAATTGCAGAGATTTCTATCATAGAGTTGATTAATTTTATATTCCAAAGGGGTACTATGGGAAAAAAAAAAAAAGGAAGAAAAAGAGGTACTGATTATTTATTGTGTTTTCTATAATGTATATATCTTCCTTCCATTTTTACTTTCACTCAAAAGAAACAAAATCACTTTTAGCTAATTACCTTTGTGAGAGCTGTTAGAAGCAGGCTGCAGGATGTTCCACCTTGGGTCATGAATCTGGACTCCAGGACCCTTCTAATAAATGTTAAGTTTCCTTCTGTACTTTAGATCTGTACACAGAATTTTAGTTGCCCACTTGTTCTGTTTCAGAAGGACTTCACTGAAAATAAGACACCTGTCTTCTTTTTTTAAAAACAACTTATACCTCTCTATATAGGCAAGGGGAACAAGTATAATCTTTAGTTTGTAGCTTTCCCCAATAGACAGAATCAGAAAGATAGTTTCCTCCTAGAAAAGAAATGTGCAGCACTATCCTAGTGGCCTAGGGAGCTCTGGTAGCATAGTGGCTAAGACACTTGCCTGCTAACCAGACGGCTGGTGGTTCAAACCCACCAGCCAC